GCGGGTACGCCCCGCCGTGAACTCGGGACAACTGGAGCGTTGGTGGAGATGCTGCCTCTAAGTCTTGTATGTGGCATTTCTAGGAAATTGTGATCCATAAGCAGCCAGGGGAGAAATTGGGGATCAGTAATTTTGTGTAATTGGTCCAAAAATTATTGAGTGTGTCTTTTGTTCAACTATGTATAGCGACAGTCGAACAAATTAAATGGTCTTCATAAGATCAGCAGAAAGTACATCATGTGTAGTTTTAAGGTACATAATTAACGTGCGCTTTTTGTATTTGAGTGTATTTTGTATTTTTTTTTTCCTAATGTAAAATATTAGTGTCAAATGGAAACCCTGTATGTCCTAATATGGTCAATGTAAATGACGGAACATGATTTCGGGTTTTTTTGCTGATATTCGTGAGCCACGGTGTGTGATCGCAATCTCAGGAGTAATATCAACTCGGACAACACAGTGTTTTAGAAATTCAAATTGGCTTTTTTTTTTTTTTAACTGAAAATCCGGATTCTGCCTGACAGTGACAAAATATGCTTTGTCATTACGAAGGTTGGGAAACACTGGAGTAAACATCGAAATAAATATGACAGCATAATAACTAGAAACCTCTAAAGCAGGGTACACACATACCAATATTTAACATCTTAGTTGATTTTTAAAAAATGTGTGAGACCACAGGCTGTGTGCTTTACTTTTCCACATCCATAACAATGCCTGACAAAAGACCAACACTGACCTATGAGAGCCAGCACTGGACCACAAGGCAAGAAAAAGAGGGAGTATTAATAGAAGAAAGCATAAAAGATGCTAGGCTAACTGTTAGCTTATCTGCTAACTTCATTGCTGTCACTCGCGCCGTTATTTGGTATTTGTGTACCCTACTTTAAATATTGAACAAGGTTATTATTTATAATTGGCGGTCCGGACAATTTTCCAAGTGAATCGGGGGAGAATTTAAAAAAAAAAAGGAGTATAGCCTTTGCTGACTTTGACTGCAAGGGTGGGCAAATTCTCATATCTGGCCCGATTGTAAGTATGTGTGTACCCCGCTTTAGCATAAACAATAGAAACAACACAATAGAACCCCCTTTAAGTCCTCTAGTAAACATGTACTTTGTCATGCTTTTATGGTGATTAAAATGATGTGATTTGACAGGAAGTGACGCTGGTCAAGTCAGGCGGTCCTCTCGGCCTGAGCATCGTCGGGGGCAGCGACCACGCCAGCCACCCGTTCGGCATCAACGAACCCGGGGTGTTCATCTCAAAGGTAAACCTTTTTTTTTTTCCATCCGCAGTTCCAAATATCACGGAGCGCCGAAAGGCTCCAAATTGCCCTTAGATGCGAATGCTAGCGTGGATGGCTGGATATAGGAGCTGCTGGAAAGGCAGCCACTCTCGCGGCGCCATTTTGAAGTCAAAATAACAAAAATAACACAACACAACACATAGGACACAAGACAGTCGTGCAATCTTCACCACTTTTCTGCATACACTTTGTTGTCTGAAGCAGTTATAGATGAAAGAAAATGGGTGGATATTACATGCCCCCAGGTGATCCCTCACGGTTTGGCGTGCGAAAGCGGGTTGCGCGTGGGCGACCGCATCCTGGAGGTGAACGCCATCGACCTGCGCCACGCGACGCACCAGGAGGCCGTGCGGGCGCTGCTGGCCAACAAGCAGGAGATTCGGATGCTGGTGCGCAGAGATCCCTCACCGCCCGGGATGCAGGTCAGTCCCGCCGTGAACTCGGGACAACTGGAGCGTTGGTGGAGATGCTGCCTCTAAGTCTTGTATGTGGCATTTCTAGGAAATTGTGATCCATAAGCAGCCAGGGGAGAAATTGGGGATCAGTATACGTGGAGGAGCTAAAGGCCACGCAGGAAATCCGTTTGACTCAACTGATGAGGGCATCTTCATATCCAAGGTAGGAGTTGATCAAGATTGAGATGTGCAGTATCGTTTTAACGTGGGCCGCCACTCGCCTTTCACAAACCCTCGAGTTGCGCCCTTCGATCGTCATGGTCGTGGACTGTCCTGGGCCAGAGATTCGGAATTAAAATTTGAATCAGAATTAGCTTTTGAATCTTGAGCTTCATCCAGGTGTATGAAATTAAAATTTCATTGGAATTAGAATTGATCGATTTAGAAATCGAAATGTGGAATTGTGATTTTTTTGTTTATTTATTTATTTATTTCTATTTGGTTTAATTTGAGTTTATTGATTTGATTTGTATTGAATTTTCAATTTTGCTTTCAAATTTCAATGTTAAATTTGACATTGATATGTCAGATTTGGCATCTTGAATGTTCAAATTGGAATTTAAAAATGTGAACTTTGAGTTTTTAGATTTTTTTTATTGTATTTTTATTATTTTGAATACAAATTGGAATTTTTGAATGACTTTTTTTCCTGAATTTGAATACAAATTTGAAGTTGACATTTTACTCACCAATTATAACGTTGAATTTGACATTTGAGGGGTCATATGCGCGTCTTAAATGTGAACTTAGAATTTGAAAATTGGGTTTCAAATTTGAATGTTGAAATTAGAATATTTAAATTGCATTTTTTTCTTCTTTTTTTGAGTTTTTTTTTTTTTTTTAATCTGTGGATTTTCAGCTTTGGGTGTTGTACTTTGGATTTAGATTTGTTTATTTGGAAATTGATTGCGATTTTGTTTTGGTGAACATTGCTGTGAAATAGTGTTTGCTCTCTTCCTGATTTCCGTGTTCTTTGCACTTTCATCCCATACAAATGTTTCGGTTCATCCAACCGATTTGAACATCACACAGCGACTACCCAAAGAAATACAAAATGCAGTTTCTAAATGCCAATGTCATTTATTAAGGCACAAACACACAAATAAAAAAATCCAGGGGATCCTCTTTCACAAACACTAGAAAATATGTCTCCTTTCAAAACAAGGTGAGCTCAAGTGGCGCGGCCGCCCGGGACAGCCGGCTGCAGGTGGGCATGCGAATCCTGGAGGTGAACAACCACAGCCTGCTGGGCATGACGCACACGGAGGCCGTGCGAGTCTTGCGGGCCGTGGGTGATTCCCTGGTCATGCTGGTGTGCGATGGCTTCGACCCTCGCAAAGTGCCCGCGGCGGAGGCGAGTCCTCACCAGGAGCCCAATGTTCGTACAAAAACTTCTGTAAATTGATCTGACTGATCGGGAACACACGGGCTCACGCTAAATATCCGTTCGCAGGCGTCTCCCGGCATCATCGCCAACCCTTTCGCATCAGGCATTGTCCGGAAGAATAGTATGGAGAGCATCTCTTCGATAGACCGAGACCTGAGCCCCGAGGAGATGGACATCATACAAAAGGTGCGATTTCACTTCATCGTCCTAATATTGGTTATTGACCACAAATCAAGTATTTTTATTCATCTATATGCGGCAGACGCTCATCATAAATCACTCAAGTTGTTTCGGGGGGGGGAAACCGGGAAGTCATAAGCAAGCATTAGCAAGGGACGACTTTTCCCAGAATTTTTGCCAGTCATCAACATACCGGGAATGGCTTTTTGGGCTCGGCCAAAGTGGAGGCGTGAATCAAATGGTTTTGTTCAGCGTTTTTTTGTGCGCGCGCCACGGCGAGCAATTCAGCCTTAGCGGCCGGTTTTACTGCCCCTGCGCTCATGCATCAGAGCACTCGAAAGCACCAGTGCGCGGCCGTTTATTTAGTCCGGAGTGAAGGCGTGTAGAATCGAAAGGGGTGGCTCGCAACGCACTTAAAAGCGGCGCTTAAGGAAGCCGACTTGTCGCTCTTCTCCAGGAGTCCGAGATGGTGAGGGAGACGTCGCAGTGGGAGAAGGAAGAGATGGAGAAAGTGGTGAGTCGATCACGACAATGAGGAGCTCAACATTTTAGAATCGAGGTCACTTTGTTTCCTGAATTCATGGAGAGAATTTGTGCAAAATGATTGCTACAACATGTTGAACGTTTTCCGATAGGATATTCTCGAGTCGTTTCAGATGATGACCACGTTTCCATTCGTTTTGCTCAAGGAACAAAATCATTCAAATTCGTCAAGAATTTAAAAGAAATCGCCATTTTGAAAACAATGCAACATTCCAAAAATGTCCACGTTTTCTGTGACCACGTTTCCAAATTAATGAGCACATTTTTCCCTTAATTGTCCCCCCCCCCCCCCAAAAAAAAGAGTAAAACATGCAAATAATGGTGAAATTCAATAAACGGACCTAAAATTGACCTTTTCACGTTCGATTCAAATCATTCAGAATCTTCAACAGTCCAAAAATCCGAATTCAGGAAATTTTTCCAATTTCACCATTTGGACAACTATTCAATTATTTTCACGTCAAAATATGTTCCAAAATTTTCCATGAAGCGATTCGCCAAATTCCTGATGAAATGTTATGGTTCCCTAAGAAAGACTGATTGTGTTTTTTTTTTTTTTTTTTTTTTGAAGCAATTTTCCGACCAGGAACTGAATCTGAAATCATATTTTGGTGCATTTTCTACACTGATAATTTGAAAATGATGTCCTGTTTTGGGGGGAAAAAAAAGGAATGGAAATCAAAGTTTTAAAAAAAATCTGGTTCATCGATTTTTAAAACTATTGCTCGTTTCTGCCCAAATTTTGAATTCATCTTACATTGCAGTACACACACACACACACACACACACACACACACACACACACACACACACACACACACACACACACACACAAATGAGAACATAACAACAGTGTCTAAATAATTTCTAAATATTTTCAAATGGGAAGTTACTGTCTGGCTGTTTGTCACCTGAGACCTCGCATGCTATTTCTGTTCCCAAAGTGAACGAATGATTCTATACTTTTCTCTCCTCTGTTTTTTTTTCCTCTCTCCCGCTCTATCCTTTTGGTCATGCGTGAAATCCTCCCATCGTTCCATCTGTGCCGCCGCTTTTTTTTTTTCTTGCTTTGGCTGTCATTTCACCTCCCATCAAACTTTGTGTGTGTTTGTGTGTGTGAACTTCCTCTTTTCGCACTGTCCTCCCCCCGACCTGTCTGGGTTGAAGGAGCGTATGCGCTTGGAGCGAGAAGAGGCAACTCGCCTGCTTGAAGAGGAGACCGAGGTGAGACAAATCCTGGATGGTGCTTGGAGTTGAGCACGCGAAATTACAATAATCACCGCGAAAATACCGAACCACATTTCACACCCGCGTCAAAATCTTCAGCCCATCCAGGAACATCCCGCAAACTATTTACCGTCCCAGAAATCTGATTCCCCTCTCCCACATGTTTACATTTCCTATCGTTCCAATTCAATGTACAGCCTAATGTCGTTTTTTTGAAAAATTTATTGACTGGATTTATTTTTGGGATGTGTTGCGCTCTCTAGAACATCGGCGCCGGACCTTTAAAACTGGACTACAAAACCCTGGCGGCGCTCCCCACCACCAGCCTGCAGAAGATCAACAGGGTAAGCCACAAAGCAGTTTTCAAACGGCTTTAACGTCCTCAAGGAAGCCCTCGCCAATTGCTCTGGACGCAACCCCCCCTCAACCCCCCCCCCACGCTAACAGAGCCGACCTTGGACCTAGCATGCTTGTTCCAAAGCACACGGGGTGCTGTTTCAAAAACCAGCACATGAGGCGTCCCCCATACGCTTGTGTGTGTGTGACACAGAGAGGTGGCAAGATTGGGGGAAGCGGGGACAGCTGCCCCCCTCTTGTGATATTTTAAACCTGCATCTGGCATTGAAGTGGACACGGGCCACTTTGGGTGGGCGGAGTGGGGGCAGACAGTTGGGGAAGGGTGTTGTCCCACGCGAGCCCTTTCGCTTTGACTTCCAAAGGCGACTCCTTTCACTCGGACGTGCGGGGACGCTTCCAGCTCTCGGTAGGAAAATGTCAATCTGGTTATTATTTAATTTCAGTCCATTCATCTTTTTTTTTTTTTTTTCATTTTTCCAGAAATCACAGCTGTTCCATTTCTAGATTTTTGAGTTGTCATGTCAATTCAATTTCGGTTCTTTAGGTTGCGTTTTTGATCCGATTCAGTCTTGATTTAAATGCTTTCACGCTGAATAGGTGAGTCAGGTTGTGATAGTTGTTTTTTTTTTTAATTTCATGTTTATTGGTTTTCCAATTTCGGTTAGGTTTAATTCGTTTTTCGACCAGGTTGGTTAGTTTTGATTAGTTTTACCATTCGTTTTTTCCCCCCCGACTATATATGGAGTAAAATTTGTCAAGCAAGATTTAAAAAAAAAAAAGTGACTCATATCTTGGAAGGTGCCGAACTGTCTTGCTGCTCTGATAAATTGGTTATTTAAGGCACTTGCGTAAAGAGTCGGTCAGTCTTGAAGCACGCATAAAAGGGCCTGGAAGTCTTGAAGGATGACGTCATGAAGCAATCCTGCTCACTCTGACTTGAGGCAACATTTAGTGAGTAAATCCTCCAAAAATTGTGTTTATAGAAGCACATAAGGGACTTTTGAAACCGTTTATAGTTTTCTGTACCCTGAGACAGGTCCTTTGAATTGACCGAATTGAACATAAACATTAGTTGCACGTGATTGAAATGTGGTCAACTGAGGTCACTTTCAAGGAGAAGTGGGAAGGATTACGTTACGTGGGCATGTATTTTAATTTAAAAAAAAAAAAAATTACATTTCTAAATACATTTAAATGTATTAGGCAGGTCGTGAACACGCACTTCAAACAACCACCAAACGTTGCCTTTAGCATCATGCTAACACGCAATTGAAAACGTCATTGACGTGCTTATTTTAACATCAACAGTTGCAGTTTTAGATCAGGACGTTCTGGAGAACCAGACATTGCCTTTTAATTTCTCCTCCAAAGTTCACTTTCTCTTCCGAGGTTTTCCTATTTCCTGGTTTTCCCATTCCTATTCCTTTCACATATCCTCCCTCTGGCTTTTCCTTTCTCCCTGTTCAGTTCTCTCCTTCTCTAAGTCCACCCATCCCCATGGAGGTCCCTCTGCAAGCCCAGTACGGCGCCCCGTTAGAGCCCCTGGGCTTCACCTTAAGCCCCCCCGCAAAGCCCGAAGCGGACGCGGCATCCTCCCCGAGTTTGTTCTCCTCCAAAGAAGACAGCCTCAGCTCGACGGCAACTCTCAATTTATCCGAGGAAAGTGAAGAGTCTCTGGTGGACTCGCAGCCCATCTGCTTCAAAGAGAACCCCTTTTTAGTGGCCAACCGCAAAGGTAAGGGTCTGCCGCCCGGCCAGCAGATCCTTTCTGGACCACCGGTGGGCTACGGGAAGCAGGGCCAACTTCAGCCTTGGCTCTTCAGCAAGGCAAGACTGCTTTTGCCCGAGTGTGCTTTGGAGCCGGCATGTTGTGTGACACCACCCCACCCACCCCACACACCCCCGTTTATTGTCGGGGATATGTTTCAGACTCGCTATGTCTGGTTGGAATGGTACAAAATGCCGATGGCGCCACATAATTTTTTTTTTTTTTTTGGGGGGGGTGCCACAAAAAAATATTTTTGGTGTGACGTCACCTTCTGACTTCTGATTAAAACATGCTTTCAAATTCGAGCAAAAAAAAAAAAAAAAGATATCTCCACATGTCTCCTCGACCCTTTCGTTTCGTTTGCTACATGTAGGGTGGGGGGCGGGGCTTCTCCGATTGGCTGACAAGTTTTGGTGAAAAATAGTTATTGATATAAGCTTGTGCAGGCCGAAATCCCAAAGGGTTCTCGTATTATGTCAAAATATGGTTATAAACGCCATAATTTACTCTAAAAACTTCTCTTCAATTCTGCAAATGGAAGATTTGTGAAAAGACTTACTGTATGTTGGTAGTAGAAGGTCATGAACTCGAGTCATCCGTTGTTTTTTACAAATGTATTCATTCTTGGGCGCGTTTGAAGTGATCTTTTTATTATTTATTCTTCTTCTTATTTTTTTTTACAAGTCCACAAAGATGGCGGCCCTTCGTCACCAGTGGAAGACAATTGTCAGAGTGACACATAAAACAAAAGGGAATTGAGAAGTGTCGATTAAGACACCAATCCGATTTTTTTGTTGTCGTTGTTTGAATTAAAGTCTGCCAACGTGTCATTCAGAGCACTGTAGACGAGTGCAAATGAACAATACTCACGAGCATATATTCTCTCTCCTCTATGGGGACGATGACTGTTCGTGGAGATTTATTGGGGACCTTCTCTGCCTCTTGCCCTGAATTACACTACACTTACTTCCAGTCTGCCTCGGTGCTGCCCAGCATGTTGCAATTGGCTGCGCACTGTAAAAACTCTTGAATATGCCTTGTAGGGGAGGCGGCATGCTATGCAACAAACTCGTGTCAAGATAGGCCTGGAATGTGTGCGGCAACAGCTGCAGTGGAAACGCTAAGTTGCCGTGAAAGATTGTTTGAGGGCCGGCAAGATGCTAAAGACGTGCATGTCCTTTGCCTGCTTGAATTTGGATGGATGAGACTAATCGATGAATCACCGCGTCTACTTTTGTTATCGTGGGCCCAAGAAGTGGACGGCTCTCATTGGCGTGCAAATTCCCCGTTTGGCTTTTAAACCGGGGGCCACTCTTCAATGCGGAGATTAACAATGTTTTAGAACGGGACGAAAATTTTACCTGGTGAATTTTAGCTTCATTTTAGCTGGCGTTGGATTTAGATTGCAGCTTCAAGTGTCACTTTAAAAAAAAAATGTCAATGAAGTGCTACGTGTGCCACACTTGCATGCAACTTATTGATGTTCGCTAATATAGCGTATCATCGCTAGTTAGGATCTATTGTCATGCCGACCCTACACCGATTCACTGACACCCACGTCACTCACCACACTAGGCCCCTTTTTTAAAAATGACACACACATACTCAAAACGTCACAGATGCTACAGTGCGGTATGTCAAAATGTTTAATTAATAACATGGCCCGTTTATTCCACATCTTTTTATCTTCCAGACTCCTTCATCAGATTACGCCAGGACCGAAAGTCCAATCAGAGAAGCCTCCTACTCGCCGACCATCCAGCCGGTGAGCCCTTCACAGCGGGTCACATCATTTGCATTCACGTCACTTTTTTTTTTTTTTTTTTTTTTCGGCTTTGTGTTCGACTTGCCATGAGTCCCTTTTTTGACTATCCCACCCACCTCCCTTCATAGACCAGCCACCACTCTTCCAACGGCTCCCTGTGCTCTGGCAGGGAGACCCGCTTCGTAAGTGGGGGCCCCACACTACTGCCCCATAGACTGTTTGTCTGCTTTTTAATTAAAAAATGTTTTTTTTTTTTTTTTTTTTTTGCTCGGAAGCCTGCTGTTTAAAAAACAGAGCATGGAGTTGATAACTGGCCGGATGCACTGATGCTAGATACTACAGCGGTGCCTTTAGATACAACGTGACCTCACTTGGGAGGTTTTTCTCAATTAACCCTTTCAGGGACAACGGTTACGACAGTGGACAACTTATCATGTTATCAGGTAACAGGTTATCGTTATTGGCGTGCGAAAAGGGTTCATAGCCGCCATTTTGGGCAATCGTTTTGCTTTGACTCGAGATACTGTTCGATTCAACTCGCTTCACAATAAGCAGAAGTTGAGCAAATCGTGAACGAGTCAGCGGAAAAGAGACTTCCGGCTGTGAAAAATGCCACTCCCGGTTGGAGTTAACTGTCAGACTAAACTTAAAACAGAGTATTTTTTTACGCTGTATGTGGCCCACCCTGTACTCGAAGCTGTCGCAGTTCTTAAACATTGGTCTGCTTCTAGCTCTGTTTGTGTACTTGACATCTGTGAGGTCACCACCCCGCCCCACACCCCGCCCCTTCACAATTCTTCATATTTTCTTTCATAGGCAAGCATTCATTTCACCTCCACCCCCAACACCAAGGACCACACGTCATCCTCTGTGAGTGTGCGGCTGCCATTAGAAACCGCCATCGATTCTCGTCTTGATGTCTCACGGTGACTTTTTTGTGTCCGCAGACACGACCGGGCGCCATCCTGCCTGTTGGGCGCGTGCGAGCGAGCACCTCCCCGGCCACTCCGGACGGCCTCAGCTCCAGCCCCTTCCAGCATGGCCCCTCTCCCTTCAACTCTCAGACCTCTGTAAGACCCCTCACCTCCACGTAGGGCTGCACTCTCGTGGCCTGCGTATGGCAATCTTGTTTGAGCTTTTTAGTGCGTACGGCTGAGATCCCACTTGAGGATCCACGTACGAGCGCTCTTGGTCTTCGCTCGTAAGACAGTTGAGCAAACTGTGTCTGACAAATATAGTTTTTTTTCTCACTTGCGTTGTATGAGGGGGGAAAAAAATATCACTGTTAGAAACAGTAGTACCTCATTTTTAATGGCGACGTTGACCTGTAACATTTTTGCATTTTAATGATGGTTGTTAAAGTGGCATGTGGAAATAATTTTTTTTTTTTTTGTGGTGGTACTTGGTTTAAAAAATTCGTGAACCATTGCGCAATATGTTAGCTAGTAGAATTTCTCTTAAGGCCACGAGTAGTATTAATATTGAAATAGCGTTTGATTTCATTAAATTAACAATAAATGACTTTTTTTTTTAGTTCGCTACGACCTATAGAATGTCTTGAAACTCACGCGTGTAATTATTTTGGTCAGTGCCTTACGAATTGATCATTTTCAAAAAATGGGGTATTCTCTAATAGCATCAAGTATTTAGGAAAATTCAGGAAAACACCTTTTCTATGAGGGGGCGGAGTTGGGGATCAAGCCATGCTGCGAAGATCGAAAATGCGCGAATAATTGATACTACCGTATATAATAATAATAATAATTTAGAATCGCGTGTAGATACCAGAAAAGAGCTGCAAAGCACTTGGACAGTTGTTCTCATTTTAGTGTCACTGTCTTACAAAGAGCATCCAAGTACAAGGACCCTAAGATGGGTATCAAGGATATCGTGGAAACGCTCAAACGACTTTCCGTTCTCTTTGAGCCAAGGTTGCAGGTCTTGTACCGTCGCCGAAAAATATTTGTACTTTCGAAACAAACCAAAGAGGAAGACTTGATTCCGTATCTGCCTTAATTCTTCTGATTTCGTACGTGTGCCCGAAGTCGTCCTGGTTTGAGCTTTGCAAGCCCTACTGTTTTGTCTTTTTTCTGGCATACCTCCCCTTCTTTTCCTCCACACGCACAACCAGCCGCCATACTGTTCACCCGTCCAATCTCACAGTCGACTCGGATAGTATTTTCATCGTCTTCCCCTCTCGTTTGTCTGTGTTGCCCCCTTGCCTCCTTCACCATAACCGCCCCCCCTCACCCGGCCCCACCCTCGGCCCTCTCATCCCCCTCCCTGCAGCCTCGCGCCCCCTCCCCCACCTCGCACTACGAGTTGCCCATGAACGCCAAGCAGTCGTACAAGGCGTTTGCCGCCGTGCCTCGCTCGCTGGCGGCGCTGGAGCCGGAGCAGGTAGGCCTGAGAGTCGCGGCGGGAAATCGGTGGCGCGTCGCCACGACAGCGCATGCTGTACCCCACCCCCAATCCTACTCGCCGCCTCCCGAAGGCGCCTGTGACGTGCTGTGACGTGTGGAATGCAATCATTGGTTTCGTACTTGCGGTGTCGTCAGCTCGTCTGATCCATCCCGTCCGCTCGTGTTGCACATGCACGAATGTTTGCATTGTACAAATAGGACATTCAAAATGTTCGGTGTATTTGGTGGGAAATTTAAAGATGAACCTAAAATGTACTTTGACTTATTTTTTACTTGACAATCACCCCATGTTTTTCCGGTTCAATTAAAAAAAAATGGCTTGGATCAACACCTGCTGTGAATTTTGCCATTCATCTCATTGTTTGAGAGAACACCAAGTTGTCGAACAAATACTGAAACGTTCAACATTTGGACATTCAAAAGTTGACAAAAGATCAAATTCAAGGTTTCAACGCATTTTAGGTTCGTCTTAACATTTCACCCGCAAGTCCAAACTTTTTGGAAGTCGTATCCATTTGCCTGCTCCATCTCAGTCTTTGTCGTCCGTCCTCTTTTCATTTCGTCCGAATGAATATTTTTTTCTTTTTCAAACAGGACTTGTATGGCGTGAGGAACAATTTCCATTCCAAGCAGCCTTCTCCAAATGTGAGTCGATTCCCTAAGAAATGATCACATCGTGTGTACAGTGAAATTTGCAGCCACAAAGTGAAGATTCTTCACCTCATACAGCCAATCAAATGAGGTGTCAAGGAAACGTTCAAATGTTATTTCCTGTGTCTGATTTAAAAGAGACTTTCTGCAGTTTATAGAGCCCACTTGACCACCATAGCTGCACAAAGGTTGAAAATCAGAAAGTGATTAATAACCCCCCCCCCCCAAAAAAAAAAACCAAACAAACAACAAAGCACTACTTATGCCTAAATGACACCGTGATGTATTTAAGCGCCAAGCTTTTACTCCGTCCGACCGTCTGGTCCTTACAGCCTGAGTCGAACAACGACGTGTTTTACGACGGCACGGAATCTCAGGAGGGGGCCGGCGGGGCGTCAGCCCGCCCCACCCTCTTGTCTGACCGTTGGGAGTATACCAATATGGCCGCCGTGCCTCGCATCTCCAGGCCGTCCCTGGACCCGCAGGTAGCCGCCGCCGCCACCGCCTCAAGCAGCCCTGCTCCCGTTGGTGTGCTTTTGTCTGGCCGGTGGCGGGCTTCCGGGGGTGCATTACCAATCTTTTAATTCAGTTTCCAAGCTACAAATGCTCCATTCGCATGTCTTGACTTGAGTCGGGTATCCGTTGACAGTTTGGTACTTTTTGGGTTAACACTTCATGAAAGAGTGGATTTTACGCTACGTGTTACATTGGTCCGCTGTTTAGCTAATCGGTAGCTAGTTCAACATGAGCTAAACTTCATGTTGGCTATGTGATTAATTGAGAAGACGGTAAAGTTCTTGACTGGTTTTTGGAACTATTAACAAGTGATGTAATTGTGAATGTGTTAGCAATGGTACTGGTATGCGTTTATGCTATGTTTTACATCAGCTTCATAGTTTAGCTAACTGATAGATGGTCAAACATGAACTAAGCTCTACCAGGCATTTAAAATGAACCAAAAACATCAGCAAAAAGGTTAGTCCAACCATTTTTTTCCCCCCTGACTGTAACAAAATTATGTATGGCTTTGTGAACCCAAGCAATGACTTGATTTGACTTGCTTGGAATTGAATGGTGACTTGATTTTTGCCACAATCACTTCAAATTTGCCTTACTCCCACCTCTGACAAATGGTGCTGGGTTATTCCCACGTTTGTTTCCTGCCGCTTCACCTTTCAGATCCTGCTGAATCGAGATTTCTGGCCATGTCGTCCTCTGTGGAAACATTGAGGTCTGATCATTCACGTTTCCCTACCCTTGCAGAATCCGTCGCCCGGTGGCAGGGACAGCCCTGAGCAGCGTTCCTTCCGGGACCGGCAGAAGTACTTTGAGATCGACGTGAAGCAGCAGACGCCCGACAAGCCCAAACCTCGCGTGTCGCTGGTCGGCGAAGACGACCTTAAGAAGATGAGGGAGGAAGAAGGTTGGTCCTTGCTGCGTTTTCCTGTTTGTGTTTCAAGATACAGTAACACCCCCCCCCCCCATTGCAAATTCCAGGTTCATGGTCCTGCTATTTCATGTTTTTTGAGGGGGATGGGGGGTAATGTTATTCATTAGATGGTGGTGCGCTCCTTTTTTCTCAATAAATTTGAAAGAAGCAGCAAGATAAGTGCTTCAAGCTGAGCCTTGTGAATTCCTCTTCAATCCTGCTTTTTACACCTACAGAGAGCAAAAGCTGTAGTTCATTTTCATTTCAATCGTGTATTTCTACCGCAAATTGCGTCACCTGATGTTTGTTTGGACGCAGAGCGCAAGTTTGAGCAGCGGGCACGTGAGTACCTGCTGGACGAAGAGGACGAGGACGACGAGGAGGACTTGGCCAAGCATGTGGCCCAGATGAAGGTGACGGGCAAGGTGCTGCTGGACGGAGTGGAGTACGACGTGGAGCCCGTGTCCACGCCGTCGCAGCCGTGCGCCGTGCCGCCGAACTACTGCGGGGGCTCACGGTATAAACGCGTTCATTTTAAAGGAAGCATCCTCTCTAACGTTTGAGACTGACGTCGATGCGTTTCTCCCCGCAGTCCTTCGCCAGTGGACGGTAAAGGAGACATGGCGAGGAATTCGTTGGATGACAGCTTCACACTGGAGCAGCGGCCCAATTCCATGACTGGGTAAGGTCAACGCTCACTTCCAACCGTGCGATTTTGCGACCAAAGTCCTCATGTGCCTTCCGGTCTCTCCCACCACCCGTCCCCCAGTTTGCTCCCCGTTTATGCCGGCGACACGGCGGCTCCCATTCGCACAGCCAAGGCCGAGCGCCGGCACCAGGAGAGGCTCCGAATGCAGAGTCCGGAGCTGGCCGTGGCCCTGGACAAGGATCTCTCCCCCGCCGAGAAGCGAGCCCTGGAGGCTGAGAAGAGAGCCATGTGGAGAGCGGCACGGTAAATTCAGACCGTACTCGCCTGCTCCTTGGGTTACCGTATTGTCAGTTTGTCTGTTTGTTGTTTTCGGTGCAACCTATTCGCAACGAGTCGCTGAAAAACTCAATAGTGGTGCCTTGAGACTTAGCATTAGCCAATTACCGGTTTGACGCTTTACTGTTTTGTTTTGTTTTTTTTTTTTTAATCTATATTTTAAAACCGTAATACAACAATATTTTTGCTCACGGTTGTCATCCCGTCAGAATCTAATCTCCGCCCATGACAAACTCGAAATTTTTTCTGACCACACTTATTACTTAAAACCATCTTTCACCATTGAAACAATCCATTACAGAAAATATATTTGAACACATTTTATTTCATATTGTCATGACTGTATATTTAAGACCATGAGTCCGTAACTCAACGCACTACTGTTCTCATGAGTTTTCACGACTTGCGGCAATATTCCCTTTTTTCCTCTCTCTGTGTCTTCCTTTCCTCCTCTGTCCTGGTGATCTTTTCTTCATGCCACTTTGGCTTCATCAAAATGGGGGGGCGGGGGGGGGGGGCACAGGCCTTTAGGCTTGGAGGACGATGTTAGGCAGTATGAGCAGGACCTGGCTAAGAGGCTCTACCAAGCTCGAGTGAGGGCCTCTCACGGCACGGCAGCCGCTGTCTCCAATGCTTCTTCCTCTGCTGCCTCCCAGCTCAGGTCTGCGCCGCGGGTCCCCGCAGCCATTGGGGGACAAAAGCACGGCATCGTGGGGTGGGGTGTGAGGGGTGACTTTGGGCCTGAAAGCTTCTTTTGCTGCCTTCCCGCTGTTGTCTTGCTTCTTGCATGTCTTTTTTGGTGCCTTGCTGTTCCATTTGTACTAATGCACACTTGCCTGCAAGCAAGTTTGCGTGTGAGGGGTGAGCTGACAGGCAGATTTGAAATGATTGACACCCAAAGGTGCGCGCGTGTGGCCTTGTCTCTTCACCTCCTCCAGCCCCGCCCACTCGCCTAATGTGTGGTTTGCTCTCTTGGCAGGATGAAGTCTCTGGAGCAGGACGCCCTCAAAGCTCAGATGGTCATCGCCAAGTCGCGGGACGGGAGGAAACGAAGTACCCTGGACCAGCTGGCCGAGTCGCCTTCGCCGGCGCCCACGCCCTCGCCGGCGCCCACGCCCTCTCCCACCCCGATGGAAGGTAGGAAGCTGTTTTACTACGTGGTTACATAACTTTATTGAAACTAATCTTGTCTTTCACGTCCTTGTCTCTCAGAGCTCATCAGTCCTCGAGGACTAACCTCCCCTGGCAGACTGGTAAGAGCAACCCTTGCCAGATATACCGGTTGCAATCATATACTCAACACAGTGGTGCCTTGAGATGCGAGTGACCGGATTTAAGATTTTTTTTTCAAGATACAAATGCTGTCTGGTGGCGCCCAACTGGAGTTCATTGTCAAACTAAACATCAACCAAAAGAGAATTAGGAACCCCGTTGAAGGGAATCGTAAGATTGAAGTGATTTGCTCCATTGGCATGAATCCAACATCTCGCCACTGGAATCGCAGCTGAGAATCCACACGTGTTCCTTCCCCTGCACTCCACCGCACGCTTTCACCGCCGCCTGTTTGAATGCCCCCCCCACAAATCTCCCACCTCTCCACCATCCCTATTCTTCTTCCCCCCATCCTGTCTTGGCATCTTTCTAGTCCCTGTCGTCAAAGAGGTTTGACTACCGCCAGTTTGCTGCCATTCCCTCTTCCAAACCGGTATACGACATTCAGGTATCAGCTGCATGCTGAGCCTCACATACCCACAGTATCTCCCCTTCCCCCTGTGGCCCCCTTTACCCAACGCTGAACCTTGCCAATAGTTTTTCCAAATGAATCCAAGAGGATATAACAAACCAGGCCTGGGTCTTGCTCTGTCACTCACAAAGCATCTTCAGCAGTCACTAATCAATTAGTCAGGTTATGGATCCCAGGAGACTTCATTTATGCTCACTTGTATTTTTTCCGAGCAGTAGAAAAACTGTAATGGCTTTCTTCGCTGGGGGGGGAGGGATGGTCCTCCTGTGGTGTGCTTGTTGGGAAAAAAAAAACCCAAATGTTTGCTTATCTGTCTGCTTTTGGTTTTAGTCGCACAATGTGGTCGCTTTTGCTTTTGATGCTGTTAAAACAAAAGTCATGTTTCCACCAAGCTACTGGTATATGGTTCAGTTTTGGTTCACCGTGGTGTGGTGCAGTGCTGTCGGGACAACTTGACGTGCAGTCGACTGCATTGACAATATGATATTTTTAAATCTGAAAAAAATGGGAATTTAATTTAAAAAGTTTTGGGGTTTTTTTTCCGGAATAGGACAAGAGTGAAAGGTTACAAAATACAAAGTATGTGCGATTGAGGAAACATTACGTTGACATTGGGGGCAAAAAATGGAAGTTAAGGGTTATTTATATTTGAAAAAAAATTGTCATTTTCAACATTCAAATTTTAATTGAGGTTGGAAAATAGGAAGTTGTGGCTGATCTCAACTTTTTTTATGACAATAAAAAGTTTTTTTGTTGAAAAACTAACTATGTTTTGTAATCAGGAAAACAACTGAGGTTGGGGGAAAAGAAAAAATATATCTATAATGTCAGAAATAAATGGAAGAAGAGTAAGAAAATTAGAACACTTTTTTTTTTTTAATAAAAAAATTTTTTTTGAAAAATTTGAACATCTGTACTTGGTGGAACCAAAGGCTAATGGAACAGTTTTTTTTTCCTGGCTCAGTTTTGGTACTTTGACTGGTTGTGCTTTGTGGCAATGACCTTCCATTAATACCACGACACTGACGAGCTAACTTAAAATCTTCGCAGATATTCTTGCGTTCTGAAACCGCACAGCCTGCTACTTCTCCACTCACCTTGGTTTTGTTTCCTCACAGTCTCCTGTCGCCGTGGACGACTTGCAGTTCATCGACGACGGCTCGCTACATCCGGGTGAGTGCGCCTCACTCCTTTTTGACTGAGTTGATGACCAACCCTGAACAAGAGGATGAGTGAGAAACGTGTTTCCTGTCCCTTTTTAATTCAGGTGTCCACATGGGATAAGCGGCTCCTAGTGGTAGGAGGGTGTGTGTGTGTGACTGACTGTTTGGGGGTGGACTGCTTTGCCTTTAAATGCTAACGTGATAGTTTAGTTGTCTCCTATTGACACCAATGTGAAAACAAGCCCAAATTAACAACATACTAACCAGGAATGGCTTTGCAAAGCCGCATTGTCAGTTCACCGCAGCGGTGGTCTGACTTACTCATATCATCTTTCCCCAAAGAAATGAAATGCCGTTAATCTGTTGCAGCTCCTCAAAAAAAAAAAACCAGCAACAATTTTTCCCCCCTAGTGTTTTACTTTATAAAATCTTACTCTGACAACGTAATAAAATTTCCAGCATGTAATGAAATGAACAGTTTGGGGACCATGTTTTGATGTTTCAACGTCCATTGACATTCATCACCTTGGCCTCCCGGGGGCAGTATAACACACACTAGAAAATACACAAAGAAGAGTTTTGCAACGAACTTTTATTTTTCCATTTTAGTCCAATTCCAAACGGTTTGCCTTTTTGCGCTTCCTCATAGATTTCACCGTATTTCTTCTTGGTGCCTTATGACATCATCGCCATCTCTTTTTGCTCCTGCTTGTTTTCTTGCGTTGGGAATCTCGCAGGGGATCTTTTCTGCTTGCACCGCTATCCTCTACAACTTTAGGACTTTCCTCTGAGATTAACTGTGCGCACGCATGTGTGTGTATTTTCTATCTAGGTCCCGCCACCGGCACGGAGGCCGAGATGCTGGTGCCCGCCACCTCAGCCCTAGAGGAGATGGCGCTGTATAGCAACAAGCGCAAGCTGCGACAAGGGCGCCGCAGTTTGGAGACGGCCATGCCCACGTAACACTTCACGTCATGAAACACTACACAAGAAGAAGAATCCATTTCCAAGAGACCAGGATAGCGGTCCCTCATATCCAGCTTTGCCTTCAGTCGCCATGGAGACCACGTTTCCTCCACACTTCCTCCTGCCCGGCTAACGTTCTTTTTTTTTTTTTTGTGTGTGTGTGTTTTTAGCTTCTATTTTTTATTATTTTTTATTTTTATTAACATCCCAAAGACAAACAAAAAAAAAGAAGTCCTAGCTGTAACATGTGGAAAAATATTTTGACTAGATTGTAAAATGTTTTTGGAGTGTAAATAATAGTAGACGACATCCTGCTACCTTCACACACACACATACACACACACACAGACAAAAAAAGAGGGAAAAAAAGCATATCATGTATCATTGTTGCACTGCCACGCAAATTTTTAAACAAGTAATTTATTTTTTGTAATCATTTTACGCCCAATTGAGGTTATTTGATGTATACGGCAAAATGAGTCATGCATATCTACACTACTCACAAATCTGTGGGGATATTGAGCTTTTGGGTAAAATCTGAAGATCAACCTAAAACGCACTTTAACAGTGGCTCTACAATTTTTTTCACACCAAGTGCCACCTAAAAAAAAAATTATTTCTCCAAGTACCACAATCTTGACTGACATTAAAGTACAGTAGTGTAGTAGACATAAATGTTTAAAAAAAAGACACACACACAGACGTTATATGCCTTGAAAATCACTGCCATCTGGCGGAATCCTTGCATCTCCAATCCCACAAAATTTTCTGGAAATTAAAAAGATTTTTTTTCTTTTAAATGAACGTTTTATCATTATACATTATTCTGCATGTTTGAACATGAACATTGTTCTTAAGCATACAGGAACAAAAAAAAAACTACTTAAATAATGACTTGATTAGCATAGAATGTTTTAATGACATTTTACCTGAATTTTAAAAAATATTATCTGCAAGTGGCCACCGTGACTGAGAGAGTCATAGAAAGTAAAGACGTGCGTTGAAATTTTCACGGATCATACACCCGTTGTGAATTTTTGCCGTTTGGTGTGCTCAGTGTCCAATATCCCGATTTTCTTTCTGTGGTCATATGGGAGACACGAAAACGTTAGTCGTTCCTTTTACATAAATGGTACTTGTCCTCCTCAGAGTGTTATTCTTTTTAATATTATTATCATCATTGAAGTTGTGTCCTGGTGTGATGTGAAGGTAGCGGATGCTTTATTTTTCTGCCCGACAGGCCTAATTTAATAATCTTGACGATATTGAGAGATCATTTTTCTTATCGTGGTGTGAATAATGTACAAATGTTAACGGAGGCGAGCTTGTGAAAACTGAGCCAATGTGTTGACCAATCGAGCGTCTGGGTTTGGACAGTCACATTTATTTTCTTCATTTTGTTGGGAGGGGTTCGATAATCAAAGCAAAATTAAATAAAGCCTCTCCGTCTGTATCGGACATTCTGCATAATCACAGTATAGTTTAATTTTTTTTTTTTAGGTGTTATAATTCTAGTGGTTCAAGTCATGTTCAAGTTTGCTAATAGCTCTTTTTGCAGTTTACCATAGTTTTTATTTTTTTGTCAGATTTTTTTTTTCATGCATATTTTCTAACGTAATTCATTTACTTGCTAACAAGTGTGCTAGGTTGTCCTGTTTGACTTTAGTTGGACCGAACACTATCCATTAGTGCTGACCTACGATGGAAAATTAATTTAATTCAAATGTCAGATGTTGTAGGGTTACTACTTATATGTTTTGTACATCAATTACATTTGTGTAACTGGGAGAAAGAACAAGAGTCACTTCTCTGTCCAGACCCAGCTGACAGGTTCCTTTGCACGGGGCTAAAAGATGAAATAAAAAAAGCAAACATGCTCTCTGCTATTCCTCTCTGTAAAGACACACAAATCAATGGTTTAATTTTTATAAATAAACATTTTAAAGTCATGAATGTCCTTGTATTGCTGTCAATTATTGTGACGACAATGCTGTTGCCAGGGTTGAGCTCAAATAGACACTTTTATTTGGTATTTGTAAAGTTCACCTGGGCACTTTATCACCGATGTCATATACTGTATCACCGCAAAATCAATGTCAGTATGACCATTTTGTTTAGATGATACATAAATATTTTATTCATCCACAAGGGCAATTCACCAAACGTGTGCAGCGCGCAAACATTTTAATGGAGTTTATCGCGTTTCCCTTGACTTCACCCAACAAAAAATACAAAGAATGAAAAAAAGCTAATTTATCGGCACATATGCGCGAGGCAATGTATCATTTAGTTGCATTGTTTGGGGGGCAAAATGCAACCCTTCCGGGGCAGTCTGGACCCCTGTAGGGCTGTATAATGTGACGCAATGCAAAAAGTAAGTTAAGTTTGTTTGTTGAGGTCGGGGTCATCATATTATAATGTTGTGAACGTGTTATAGCAGACTACGCCGCGTTCAGGCTTACGTACTAATTTGGGTTACGTCGCGGGCGTTGGAATTGAATTCATCCGGGACGTTTAAAAAAAACATTAGTTGTTTTATTATCGTGGTTAATGTTTAAATAAACCTATACGTACACTGCAAAATGTAAAAAAACAAAAAAAACCAAAACGTTTTAACGAACAGTCGTAACTCTTCCGGGTTCATGTCCATCTACTACCGGGTCACGATGCTGATTTGTCAGATTTCCTGTGCGGTGCATGGCATGCTTGACAGTATAGCTGACGCCTCACACGGACTCTCCGCCGAACAAATTTTCGTACTATTATTTTACCAGCCTTTGACAGTGGTCAAACGGCACGAAAGAGAGCCAATTGACCGACTGCCTTGGGTGCGTTTAGTAGCGGCCGCCCTGCTCCTCCTTCCACCTTCCCCCACACGAGAACCACTCTTTTTTTTACACTTGGCGTGTGTCATTGCTTCGGCGTGTTGAAAAAGCTAGCGGCTCTCTTTTGAAAATGGCGGATGTGTCAAGCGAGAAGAGCCTGGACGACTTTTTCGCCAAACGAGACAAGAAGAAGAAGAAAGACAAGGGCAAGGCCAAGGAGTCGGCCGCCTCCTCGACGGGCCTTAAAAAGAGCAAGAAGGAGAATGAAAAGTCGTTTAAAGGCGACGGCCAGGACGGCAACATGGACAAGGTAACGTGGGCTAGTCATTGACTGTAAGCCGCCACTTGTAACATCCGTAACAAGTCACGTGAAGCTCCCCCTTGACACTTAAATGATGAGAAATGAACTTTTAAAAAGTGGTTTGTGAAATAAATTGCGACTAGCTCTCTAGCATATGCTCCTCATGGCTCATGTGTTGACCGGCTGCTAACCACCGCTTAGCTTTTTGCTTCTGTAGCTGACACGGTCACTAACTCTGTCGAAGCATTTCGCTCGTCATTTTAATTCAATTTCGAGTCAAACCATTTTCACGAGTGATGTCTTTTTTTCCCCATCAACGAGATGAGAAAAGAGAGGGCGAGCCGCCGCCATTTTAGTTTGTTTAGTCTCCCCCACTAAGACGTCGGTCCAGTGGTCCTCGCTTTGCGACGCTGTTCCGTTCCGACGGCGGTGACCAACCCCGAGTTTGTTCGTACGTCGGGACCAAGTCGTATTTCCAACGCCAACCTACAACGCTGAGCAATTGAAGCTTGAACATGAGTCTGAAAAGCGCCTAAGTAGGCGTAAAACGATCAGATTGAAACTGTAAAAACGGACTTATGCAACTACTCTGTACTAATTAAAGATAATGTGTATGTAAAACACTCATAGAGTTAAAATAGAAATGTGGAGGTGCAGCAATTAAGTGATTACTTAATTGGTAATAGTTGAAAATGTTTTTAAAAAAAATGTTCTCCCTGTGATTAATATCTTAGTTGCTGTGTTAGGAACCATATTTTTTTAAATCAATTTGTTCATTAATCAGTTATCAGAATTTTCCTCTGACAAATATCGTAATCCAGTTGGGCTACTGTCAAGTATGAACAACTTTTAAGCAGCACTAACAGAGCGTGATGACGTATTCTTAAGCCGCTGTGTAAACTGGCGAATTACTGTGTGCCCCGCTGGGCCTTTCTGTATCGCTGATGTCCCGCTAGTGCAGTACTGCATGTTGAGTGGCCTGTGTCCCCTTGCGGCCAGGAGGACGAGGATTGGAAAGAGCAGAAAGAGGTGGACTACAGCGGCTTGAGGCTCCAAGCAATGCAGATAAGGTGAGGGTGATGCGTCCCCTCAGAAGTGTCCCGGCGTTGCCCTAATGTCTCGCTTGTTTTCCCCCAAGTGATGACAAGGAGGAAGATGACTACGAAGACGATGACCGGGAGCACGACGAGGACGGTGACGTCCTCGTCACGGCGGGTGGTGAGAAAATGTCCGGCCCTTGGAATAAGTCCACTCATGCCCCTGCACAGGCTCCACCCGTTGGTGAGTAGTGACCCTTCACTTGCCAACAGGGCATGATGACGCTAGCAGAAATATTGTGGTTTCATATTAGGAATATTGCAGTTTGATTTTTGAACAACATTTAGAACCTTTGGTACATTGTTAAATGTCGAAACAAAATGAAAGAAATCTTTTTCTGATCAAATTTAAAATGTAGTAAAACAGTAAAAAACACTGAGGTAAATCGTTTCAGCCCCACTTCCCAAATGGTGGTTGATTATTTTTTCCCTTTTGCTCTCCGCAGAGGACGTGGAGACGCCCGAGAAGCCGGCAGGCGTGTACCGTCCCCCTGGCGCTCGCTACTCCTCGTCCAAACGAGGCCAGAACCAGGGACCCCCTGAGATCTTCAGCGACACCCAGTTCCCCTCCCTGATGGCCACCGGCAAGCACGTGGAGACGCGCAAGTAATTCCACGTACCATAAAGAAATGGCAAAAAGTCCCATTTAAAAAAACTCGTCGTGAACTCTCGCGATCCACCAGATGGCGCTACTTTTTCCTCCTCCGGGGAATGCAACAGCAACATTTAAAACGTTTTAAGTGCAGTAACAAAATCAAAGCATGTGTTTTGGAGGAAAATTATGTGGGGGGGGGAAAAAAAACAAAAGGCGAAGATTATTTCAGTTTTTTTGTTTTAAAAAATGTCAAATAAAAATAAGGTTTTTAAAAAGTTGAGAAATCAATTTAGGTGGGACACATCAAGATTTTTATTTATTAATCTGTGGGTGTGGCTTATTTGTTTACATACTAAAAAAGCAGAAGTAAATAGCTGTAAAAATGCTACTGTAAAACAATTTGAACAGCATAAATAAGACGCAAGGAAAATTAGATTGAAGATTTCTAGACATAAAAAAGTTCAAGAAATCTCACCCAAGATATTTTTTAAAATAAGGCATATTGACTTGTCTATAAAGACCTAAAGTATATTCTGTTCTGCGATATTTAGCACTGATCAAAAAAAAAAAAGAGTAAACTCTCTTCTTTCACCATTTTTTTAAGCTTTTTCTTTCATAATCAGTGGTCGAGCGTGGTTTTGTTTCACCGCGTGTTTCTGACCAAAAAGCGGAGAGCGGGGGAGCTTTATGCAAAAGAAAGAAATAAAAATCACGGTTGCCATTTTGAAAGTAACCTTTGTCTCCTTGTCGCCAGGGATCGCGAGATCGACAAGACGTTTGAGGTCGTGAAGCACAAGGGCCGCGGCCGAGACGATGGCAACGCCACCGCCGCCATGCAGCACCTGCAGCTGGATAACCAGTATGCCGTCCTGGGGGACAAGTAAAACATGCATGCCGCCGCCATTTGGCGCACCCCGCCTACCACCAAGCAATGAGGAAGAAGGAAGCGGTTGAACGTTGTACTACCGCACTCACTGCCACCGCCAAACACAAATTGGAATCATCACGCCTATTGTTCATGTGGTTGGGAAGGGGTGGGCGGGGTGTGGGGGCGGGGGCGCAGCTCCCCACCCCCCAAAAAAAGCTTTCGGCGGCGAGGACTTTGTGGACCACGTGTGTCTCTCTGGACTTTATTGAGGTGATTTTACAAACTTGTGTGTGTGGAGGGGTCGGAATCTATTTTTCTGCGCTGTTACATACACACACGCGTGTGGGGTAGTGGAGTGCGCTTGGGCGTTCAGGAGTGGACGATGGGGGCACTACCTCGACCACATGGAGTCTCTGCTTTGCTGCCCCCCCAATCCCAATAAATCCTGCACCTGTGGTGAACGGAATACGAGCTGCAGTGTGATGAGACTCGTACGATTCCCTAATAAAGTGGCCTTACGGATACGAACGAACGGCTCAGTCATACAAGGAGCGCTAAATGGACTTGAAATCACCACGAGAAGAAGAAGAAGAGGAGGAGGAGGGGAAAAAATTGCTGATGTGGTTTGTAAGATTTCAAATCTTGTTTCTCATATCAGCTGTTCAGTTTTCCAGCCCTTTCATCATGATGATTCTTATTAGAACAAAGCTCGCTCGGCTGTCACATCCCTTCTACTTGACAACATACATTCAAATGCATAGTTTGGCAGATGATTCCATAATTTCAATTTAACTCAATTCAGTTCAAGCAGTCAACTGAGCATTAGTTTTGCAAGTTAATGGATGCCGAATAAGTGTGTGTGTGTGTGTGTGTGTGTGTTTGTTTTGGTCAATGCCATGATGAGTACAGTAAGCGCCGGGATACTTGTGTGCGTGTGGTTGAAGTAGGACATGTTTGTGACAAAGACAAGAGCCAATTTATCAAATAAAAGTGCTAATCTGGAAAGGCTGTTTTGTGTTTGTTGTGGACTTTGAGCTTCAAAATAAACTTCCGCTTCCCGCAGTAGTGAATGGAAAACTACAGTAAATGTTTGTATGGAAACATCAATATAAAATGCAGAAAATAAATGCTGAATCCTGCCTTTTTTTTCCTTTCTGTTGGAACCCGAAACACCATTGAACTCGGCGCAACTGCCACCGTGGAACAAAAAAGGAAAGTCCATCTAGGATGAATGTGACGTGGTCAGCAGGATTATTTTAAAATGCTTTGTAATGCCCTCAAGTGAGGGGGAAGACCAAATGCATGTTTTTGTGGTTTTATTTATTGAGCAGTAAAAAGGACAGTAACTGTACAAAAATGAAGTTGTCCATTACGACTATAACAATAAATTGAAGAGAATTATGTAACTTCTGCTCGGAGACATTTGGGGGAGGAGGGAGGCCTGGAAGTCTTGAGGCCTGTTAGCCCAACATTTGGAAAATGGGCTGGTTATCAGAGGCTAATTCTGGTAATGCTGTTAGCTCATGTTAATCTGTGCTGACACTGCAGCTCTGCTTACCTTTAAGCGTTGTAGAACTTCAGATTTTTCAAGTTGACATCAATTAGTCGCTGATGACGTTTGTCATTTTTCAGCACAGTACTATTATTTTTTACACAAGGGGGAAGTGCTGGGCAATAATTTAAATTTACCAACAGTGGACAGCTCACAAACCGAATTTAATTTAGCCCAGTCAGGAATAGGAGGCACTTTTAAAAATGTAGGTGACGGGTTCGTTTCATTCAGCGCACCCTTGGACATTACTGCCATCTATTGGTATTCACGACACACAGCATGTATCCATCTTTTGTAAATTAGCACCACTCTTTTTTTTTTTTTTTTAAATGTCATTGATATTTTAGTTGTCCACTGCGACTGACTTTCGCTCAAAATCAGCTGAGATAGGTTTCAGCACCCTGTTCAGGATAAACGACGTTGAAAATGAATGGGTGGATGAATAAAATGTTGATATCTACCTATTTTATAAGGAATAAAACAATTTAAAACAAATAAAGAAAAAGACTCAGTTACTTCCGGGGTGTTTTGTAAACGTCATAAATCAGCGACTCGAGAGCGAGTTTTTAAATGGGAGATTGTGTTTGACGTTATGACTGCGTGACACGGTTGTCTTGGCGGTAAGATTCCCCCCGACCCCCAACAATTTGTTGTCAAGGAATAGTTGTAAACTCGAATTAATGTCGTATTAACTCGAGTCTAGACATTCAATATACACCGACTGTGCTTTGAGCGGCTTGCCTCGTTGCTGAGATAGGTAAATTAATTTCCATTTAAGATAAACGTAAATTCCCATGTTTATTTCAATATATATCAGCACATTAGAAGCTGGTCAACACTAATGCAAACAGAAAATACAAACGTTACTTTTGGTACTTGGATTCTGTATGTTAAACATATAAAGACTAAATATCTATTATCATTTTAACACGTATGTATGTAGTCCATATAAATTGAAAACAGATAATTTGTTCAAATTCCATTTTTATTGAGTCGGTTTCAAGGTGATCACAAAACTCTGAATATTGTAGAGTTGAGTTGATTGATTTTCGCACATGATTTCACATTTCTACAGTTTCCACCTGCACCCCGCCCATGTAAATTGCAGCCTGGTGTTCCTCGGAACAGAACGGTTGATCGAACATCAACGGGTCTCATGTTAGCACCTTTTCGTTTGGAGGGAATCAAAGTAGTGACACACACAAACATCCGCATCCACACACATACTTACACGTAAATATCATCAGCAAATGTAGACAAAATGTTAGGTGTTTTCCCTCGAACAATTATACACAAAAAGTGTTGTCTACATGGACATTTATTGTTTTTCAGCATTCCTGTTTTCTTGTCAATTATCTGGGACACTGTTACCATCCGAGTTATTGCTCCCCCACGTCAGCTCTCAGTGCGTCTCTTTCCGACCTTTTGTAAACAGCAATTGTGCCTCCTCCTCTGCTTTTGTCAGGTGTGTGGCGGCGGTGGCGGCTGATGATGAAAATGATGACGTGGCGACCCGGCTGGCTCCAACTAGTCATCCTTCTCCACGATGACCTCACCGTGGAGCACCCTCCTCCTCTGCCGCAGCATGTGGAAGAAGAGCTGAGGGAACACTGAACATGACAACAAGTATTTTATCTACATTCCAGACCAAGGTTAGTTTAGTTAACAAAAACCACTGTCTGTTTCATGGTGCATGAAACTTACACGGGATGTAGGATAGCATGATGACCACCAGGCAGTAGTAGTAGTCGAAGGACACGTTGTACTTATTGGGGAGCCTCATGGAGTACATGCCCGAGCGGCGCACGAAGGGCAGCGCCGAGTAGATGGTCAGCAGCTCACCTGCCACGCCCAGCGGGTACAGGATGATGAACAGGGTATATCTGATACACACATACAAAGTGTTAACATTTCATGGTATTAGTGTCTTCACAGCACCATATTAGCATTCAGCCACTAGCACAGAAGCTAAAATAAATAAATAAATACAGAAATAAATCCAACATGCTCAGCGCGACGGCGCCTCCACCTGGCCCACTTGATGAAATACGGCAGGTGATGGAGCAGGTTGAAGGTGTAGTAGGAATATCTGGTGATCTCAGTCAGCGTCCACACCACGAGGAAGAGGACCACGCTTTCTTCGTTCTGGATCTTCAATTAGGGCGACACAAGGTTAAGTCCTGATTTCAGTCCCGTAGGCTTTGTGTGTGTGTGTGTGTATTTTATGTTACCTGTCTGATGCTGTTGGTGACGAACCACACCATAAAGATACGCGAGCTCACTTGCACCCCGGTAACGATTACCGACGTCCTAATCAGGCCTGCGGCAACAGCATTGATTAATGGCGGACACACAGTTTAAGGTGGAAATGTATAGATGAGATTTAATTTCACACGTACCAATGGCACAGTGTCCTACCTGGAACATAAAAGTACATAAAAAAAAAGATGAGCAAGAATTGTGGTTTCAAGATTTTGTTTTAAGGTCTTCTATGACCTTCAAGCTTTTGGGAGGTACCATACAGGATTGAAGCATATATTTGGATAGTAGTGACTAATTATTGCGCGTTACTTTCTATGATACAAATGGTCAAAGTAGGCTTACCTCGATTAAAGCAAAAGTCTGGAAAAACTTGAGGGTCCTGGCTATACTTCTGTACAGGCCCTTGTGTGTACCTTTCTGCATGTAGAAGCGCATCATCGCCATGGCCAGGACCAACCACCTGACCACAAAAATAACTTAATAATAAATACATTTTTTAAAAGGAAGGGAATACATCTTCGCTCAAAGAACTCATGTGTTAAATCGGTGGATAGTGTAGACTGTTTCAAGTTTTTCACAACTACAGTATACGAACAATCATAATATGTTTTGTTATCTCAAGGGAAAATTTTACCCCCCAACTGAAAAAGGATTCTGATCTAATGCTGATCCTATCCATTTCTTTTGCTCAACCTTGATTTGCGTAGCGAGGTGCACAAAACATTTGGATCGTTTCCGTTTTTATTGCGTTTGATCTGTAAGACACAGAAATATAACGTAATTATATGCGTGGCAGTTGCAGTTTGAATGGGAGCCTATCATTATGCAGTCAACGCTGCCTTCTGCTGGTCGTAGTTGGAAATGACACCCTATTACACCATCATACGCTTTTTTTTAATCAATTATTTTGTATTTTGTTGTAATGTTGAGTAAACATTATTTGAATGTTTTCTATGTTCATATTTTTCTTTTTGGGAGGGGTTTACAATACTTTTATATGTCAATAAAATGTCGAAGTACTCTTTAGTTTATGTAGTTGTCTGTACAGATGCTTTAAAATTGTCATTTAAAAAAAATCGTGGCAATATTCGAGGTCAGACGCTAAGAACAAATATATTGATTTTTTTTTTTTTTTTGCCGTATTATCCAGCCCTCGTCTCTTCCCACTGGATGATCGATTGAAGAATCAATGCGAAAACCTGTTTTGAAAACGGCCGGCAGTGAAGGAGTAGAACGTATTTCCAAAACCGTAGAGTAGACGCTTGTAACGGAAGTTCCAAAAATGCAAACAAAAAGTGGCTCATTGAGCATTTGCGGCGTCGCTCCGGTGTCGCTGCCGTCTAAACTTATATCAGTCGGCAGTCCCCGCGGCCCTTCACACTTCACACCCTCGCCTCGGCCCTATTTGGACACGCAGCGACGCTCCATTCATTCCAGCGGGCCGCCACGCACGTCGCGCACGTACCCGGCCGTCATGGCGATGTTGTAGAAGGCGAGCCAAGCCGTGGCCACGGTGCCTTTGCCGCGTTTCTTGTTGTTGTTTTCCTTCTCCTCCGACGCCGCGCCGCCGTCCTCCTCGCTGGACGCCATGCTGGTGCCGGGTCTGGGTGGGGGTTTCCCGAGGGGGATGCGGGGGGGCGGCGCGACCAGCCAAGCAAGTATGCTGCCGCCTGCGGGGGGAAAAGTGGAATCTCCAAAGTCAAATGCCCCTAAAGCAGGGGTGTCAGACTCATTTTAGTCACGGGCAAATTTGGAGTTACGTCTCCCCTTGGAGGGCCGTTATGACAGTGAAACCACAAAATTATTACTTTTACACAACAAATTAGTAGATTACTAGTTTTGAAATCAGTCAAGTAAATTATAATAGTTTGTTTGGTTATTGTTCAAGTGAGTGTAAACAGGTTAACAAAATTATTGCAAAATCGCATCCTTATTTATGACACAGGACAATTTGACATTTCGGTACAGATTTGAGCAAGTTGACACCCATGATTTGCTTTCGCAGGCCGCATAAAATGACATGGTGGGCGGGATGTGGCCCCCGGGCCTTGAGTTTGACACCCTTTGACACCTTTGAAAACTTTTGTCCATTTCTTTTTATCAAAATTATAATTTAGCAGGTTTTTGCTCTTTGTGGTTGAGATTGATCTCTATTCCCGTGAACCGCATTCAGTGCAGTGCATGCTGTTTACTGGTCTGATCAAGGGATGGGGTGGGGGGGGGATCACTTCTCACACACCCCACACCACAGGACAATCACTTAGGATCGTTTTTTTCCCAAGACAACTTGACTTTGCTGACTATATGATTGCAAGGGAGGGAAAATCCTCAAATCCGGCCTAATTATTATGATGCGTGGACCCTGCTTTCCATTTTGAACAGGTTTAAATTTTTTTTAACCATATCTGCTGAGCTTGATCAAGGTGGGGAAAAAAATCAGTCTTAACACACCAAACACCCCAGGATCATTGCTGAAGATAATCTTTCGGAGACGTCAGACAATCTGTGTGTGTGTGTGTGTGTGTGTGTGTGTGTGTGTGTGTGTGTGTGTGTGTGTGTGTGTGTGTGTGTGTACACCCCACTAAAGCTAATAAACACTCCTCATCCTTGTTACGTTTTGTTTACCAGGCACACAGTGGTGACTGCGGCGTAAGCAGTTTCAGGCCCACACTTTGTGGAACATGCTCGTGGCAGGGCAGAGCGGACAATGGTGGGGACTGCCCCCCCCCCCTCACCCTCCCCCCACCATGTCTCCCACCCCGGTGTCCTCACAGCATGGGCTCAGGCCGGACGCTGAAGTTGGTGGTGTGCGAGGTGCTCCAGTTCGCCGGCCTGTGCGTGCCGCTCTTCGTGGTCATGCAGCGCTTCGCCGCCATCGTGGCCAAGGTCCAAGGTGGGGGCAGCACCGGCGGGGCCTACTGGCTCATTGTGGCCTCGTCGGTGGCCTACGTCACATCTGTCACCCTTCTGGTGTGGGTGCCCCTCAAGTACATGGTGTTTGCCAAGAAGAGATTCCTGGTCAGGAGGAAGAAGTGGTAAGCAGCGCCAAGGTGGAAAGTCGGCGTCTTTTTTGTCTTCCTGTCCTCACTGATGTGTGTTTCCGTCCAGGAGGCCTGTGGCCCTCGTGTTTGTGATCGTCTCCACAATGCCCTGCTTTGCATTCCTCATCGCCAGCTCTGAGGTACCACAAAGGTCCATCCGTCCATTTTCTATTTAATTTCTCCTTGTTCGAATCAGTTGTTAGTTGGATCCCCTGCCAGATTCTTTTTGGCCAAGAGAAGCGGGCTCCACTCTTAACTGGTCGCAACCCAGAATTGCAATGCAAATATGTATGAGTGACCATTCACAGTCACACAACTTAGAGTCTTCAATTAACATTAGATGACGTTTGGCAAAAATCTGATCTGAGAAATGTCATATTGGTCGAGCCTCCAGCCTGGACTGGTCACGCGTCAATTGCAGGAATTGATCAACAAACATTCACACTCACTTTAACAGCGATGTCACATTTTAGAGTCTTTGGCAATTTAATGTCTTATATTAAGCTAGCATGTCTGAAAATAAATGAATAAAATGTGTTTTTTTTTTTTTAATGTGTGGAATTTTCCAGCAGACACACACACATTATTTTATGCGCTAAATATTTACAGAATAGCAAGTTTTTTTTTTTTTTTTTTTTTTAAAGACTAAACCAGGAGTGGGTCATATTGACCCATGACCATTTTTGGCGCACTAAAGAATCCAATGTAGGGACTAATCTGCACCCAACGCTGGTTCACATCTACTCCCCATTGAGTCCAGGGCAAAAGCACAACTGACAACTGTTATTATTAATAGACTTCAGCTCCTTTGATGAAAAAGCCTCCCCCCGTCCAATTGCAACAATGGTAACATAAAATATTTAGCAGGAGACCCTAGAGCAGCCCTTATGGCACATAAGAATTAAACAGTTTGTACATCATTACCGGTAATGAAGTTTCAACGTGGAGTGGCATTGAGCAACTTGAAGTCTCTTTGTAGAAGAATTATTCACTATTCACCAAACTGCTGCTGATTGCAAAGTGAACCCCAAAAAAACTATGAAAGCCATTTATTTTTAAGGTTAACAAAGGATGAGTTTAACCCTTTCATGCACCCTGTAACCTGATAGCATGATCAGCTGTCCACTAACTGCTTTCCCCTGAAAGGGTTAAAATGATATTCCACTGTCTTGAGAATCATAGTTTGTCGTATATTTGCTGCTTAAACATCGGGCATCAATTTACTTGCGGGTTTTCGCAAATAGCGAGGGTCATGATAAAATGGAGCCAAGGCCTGTTGGCGGGATAAAGGTGATGACTTGTGAGAAGAAAGTCCCCGGGGAGTCATATGTGCGGATAAGGAGGTGCTGATAAGCAGCTGGGTTCCTCTTCCTGCCCTCCTTGTCACATCATGTGTCCACCAGGCACATTTTCACTTCCTGGTTGGCCCGTGGCCCAGGGCTCACTTTGCTGCTTTGCGTGGCCCCGAATGGACCTTTTGCTCCCTTGCTTATCGGATGTAAAAAAAAAAAAAAAAAAAAAATGCTTTGCTGATTCCCGCTTGCTCTGCTTTGTTCTCAAGTCCTGACTCAGGCTCATGTCAAGAGCTGAATGGCACTCGGGGCAGTGATTCTCAATCGGTGTGCCCGTACCCAAAAGTGGGTCGCGGACAGGTATTAAATCATTACAGGGGCGACGTAGTTTATGATAAAACTAAGATATGACATGTCAAGGTCGCAGATGGTTTTCATGTGGTACAACAAGGCACGCTTATTAACTGGATTGTCGTAGAAGTAGCATTGTTTTTTTTTTTTTTTTGTTTGTTTTTTTATGTCTACTGCTTCCAGATGGTCATGATGGGCTCACCAGAAGGAGCAGCACTGTATCTTACTTGATTATTGTTATTTTATTTTTTTGTAGGTTCAAATCCGCAACAATCTGCGTCACGACACGTTTGGCGAGCTACCTGTGTCACTCATCCTTTTCTCACTCATCTGCATGGACGTGGTGGAACGGATACGGCACTGCAGGCTGACAGGACAGGGTGAGCGTTGCCAGTTTGAAATGTTTTTTAAAAAAAAAACAAAATTTTAACCTCACCAAACGAGACGCTGACATCGTCTCATTATCGGATTGCGGGATGCCGTGTTCGGCGGAGAAGCTCGACCATCCGAGAAGAGCTTTGGAAGTAGAGCCGCCGCTCCTCACAGATTGAGAGGAGCCAACTGAAGTGGCTTGGGTATCAGTTGTCAGGTACTTTGTATTAGGATGCCTCTGCTGGACGCAGTCAGTTTTTACCAATCCCACTGAGAGGAGCACATGACCCGGGAATGCCTTGGGATCCTTTCTGGAAGAGTTGGATGAAGTGGCTGGGGGGAGGGAAGTCTGACCGTCCCTGTTAAGGCTGCTGCCTTCGCAACCCGACCCTGGATAGGCTGAAGAAAATGGATCGGTGGATTGCTGTGTTGATGTGTGGAAGCAGTTGCTGCAAAATCCCGCAACATTAAACAAAGTTGATGACATTGAAACTAAAATTCTCTCCCCCCCCCCCCCAAAAAGAAGTTATTTTAATCATTGTATATACTTTACATTATTCGGTAGATTAATCTGTTATCGGAATTTTATTCTGCCAAATATTGGATTTTATATGAATCTCAAAAAGTCCATATTGGTCCGGGCCATTTTTTATTAGATTTTTATTTTTATAATTTTTTTGGAAAAGGCATCGCAGACTAAATTCTGGGTCTTTTATAATTCAACATCCTGGCACTTTGTGACAGTTGTTCTGGTTGTTTCTTCAGATAATCAGGCGAGAGACACCGAGATCCCTTCCTCGGTGTTGACTCACGTGGAACAAGTCACACCCATCACTCCAGCCGTTCCGGGGTCTGTAATAACGGGATCTGGAACGTCCGGTCCCCGCGTGCCCGGCCAAGTTACAGGGTCCCAAGTGGCGCCGGCAGGGACGGCAGGCCAGCGGGGGAGCGACAGAAGCCACATCGGCTCCGCCCTTCGACCGGAACCAAACGGCACAGTTCCGAGAATACCAGTAAGCACCGAGCGAGGGTTCCGGGCCTCGGAATCTGGGTCCCGTGTGACGTACACCCGCTCGGGCCCGCTGCGGTTCCTGTGCGCCAGCGACGCCCGCGCCGACGTGTTTGTGGACGGCTTTATGTTCTGGATGGACACGGCGGAGATGACGCGTGCCGTGTCCCACCCGCTGGTGTGCTACTCGGGCTGGGTGTGCCCCATTTACGTCTTCTGCTGCCTCTCTTGCCTGCGGGTAGTCGTCACCCCCCACGATCCACTGCTGTCCTCGCTGGGCGTCGTCCTCCAGGACCTACCCTTCCTGTTCGTGCGAGCCGGCCTGCTGGCCTTCTTCGGTTTGGTCACGCCGCTGCTCTACCTGCTCAAGAATCTGCTGGTGTGCCTCGCTTTCATCTACTTCAACTTCATGACCAAGCTCAGGATCTTCAACACACAGAGGATGTACTTGTAGACTATTCAAACTTGGGGGGGAACATCACAATCGTGCACAACAACACAACATGCGTCTGAGTCTTAGTCCGTGAAATGAGAAAAACTAAAATTGAAAGAAAAAAAAATCTTTCGTTCTTGAAATCGAATGAAAACGAGAGTGGTAGTCATGGATTACTGATCGAACAGTGGTTAAGTAATTGTACTTTATTACTCATGCATACTTTTGTGACTTTTTGTTTCATCTGAGACACAACAAATATGCCGTATTTAAACATAATAATAATTTAAAAAAAAAAGCTAAACTAAAATGAAACATTTTAGATAAATCTAAAACTAATACTAAAATTAATTTTTAAAAAATGGAACTAAAACAAAGCATTAGAAAAAACTAAAATAATAAAAACAAACAAATCCACTCTAAAAACTCAGTCAAACTAACTGAATAAAAAAAAGAAAAACATTTTTACAATTTCAAAGCGTTCCCAGGTGCCGGGGATTTGGGTGTTTCTGCGTGATGGCGTTTCAGAGGGTGTGTGGTTCAGTGATATGCTATGCAATGAGAAAATAATTACTCATTTTTGGAAAAAGTGGTGTTGTTGGTGTATTTTGAGGGGGACCTTTATTTGTCAAATTCTTCTTCCGATTTGCAATAAATATTTGGGACCAAAAAAAAGAAGAATGCTTCTCAATAGGACTTTGTTGTAATTCAACCCCCCCCCCCCCCATTTGGAACTTGATTGCCAGCATTTGAGGGCACTTCCCCACTAGGAAGCAGGATTTCCCCCCCTTTGCTTGATTTGTGTCATCTTTGGAAACTGCACAGAGCTCCATAGGAGGGGGTGGGGGTCGGGGGGGGGTCTTTTTTTTTTGGGGTGGGGGCATTCTTCGCAGTTTGCCATGTCAGCATTTTACTTACGTTACTTGCCACTCTTTGAGCGTGCTAAGCACAGAGGGGCCTATATTTAACCCTCTTGTTACAGTGCCGGTCAAATTAACCCGTAAAATGCGTTGATTTTATTCCTGGTATTTTCCAATATTCACAAATTAGGGGAAATAATTGCATGATTCCAATAGTTACACTAATATTTACTGAAGTTGGTTTTTATTATGATGCATGTTAATCATAGAAGGTTTAACACCTTGGGTCATATTGACCCGTGATCAATTTTGTGTTGCCAAAGAAACATACCTAACCAGCATATTTCTAAAATGAGTCAAGAATGTCAAGTGAGATTGATTTCATTTCCAACACTTCTGGATAAGTAAACACTTCTTGCGGTCAAATTGACCCAAGAAATGTTTTGTGTTGATCTGATTTCCAGGTCTTTGCAGAATTCAAATGAAAAGGTAAAATGTAAATTATGGCAATAGAATGCTTGTATGGCTGAAAATAAGCGACACGTTGACATGAGTATTTTGGACTTTATTGTGTTGCAGGTCAAACTGATCCAGTCTCCAGTTAACAATATATCCAATGCACCTTCTAATGGTTCATTTCTCACCCAGTATATGCAAGTTGGGTTAATAAGAGTTCAGATTTGTGGTTTCTGGGTCAAATTGACACGCAGAATGTCACGTGTGCATTTCATCTCTGAGTATTTCCCAATATTCCCCCAAAATGGGAGTACAGCGGGTCACACTGACCCATAAACTGTTTTATCGACCGGAGAAACAAAGCAGCATATTTGCAAGTTGAGTTGAGAATGAGATTTATTTTGTAGCTGACTTTCCTGGAGTATTAAATATGTACCGGGTCAAATTGACCCATGATTGAGCACCAACGTGTCTTAACTTTCACGATCAAATGCGACGATTGGGCCTTAATAATATCCGAGTGTCAGTTTTTTCTCACCTCTCGTAGTGCTTCCCCGCTGCCTTCCTGCCGCCCTCTCAGCCACTCTCTCTCTGAGCGCCATGTGACAGGATGTCCAAGGAAGAGGAGTCGTGGCGGCGGCCGCCGCTCAGCTCGCCACTTCGCCGCCGGACGCCCTGCCGACAACCACCATCATGTGGCCTCGTCTCGCCGCGCCGCTGCTGCCGCTGCTCTGCCTCCTGAGTGCCGTGGCGGCCAATGTCGGTACGTGTTGTTGGCGCTCTTCAACTTTTTGCGTGCAGAACTGTGAGTTTGTGTCTTGGCCTTTCGCTGTGGTGGGAAGTCACAAATAGTGTGTACTCAAGTATTGAATTTCTTGATGTTTTAGTTGCATCTGTGGCCTTGAGAGTTTACTTGTGGGCAAAAAAAAAAAAATGACACCAGTAAGACAGTCTTTGTACTACTGCGTAGAAATGCCACACCGAAGTTGAAGGCAGTAGTGGGAAAAAAAAAACAATCAGTCGCTCTACGAGTATGCTGAATTGTTTAACAAGTGAGGACAAAGCGCATACTAGTACAAAGAAAATTCACTGCACTAGTAGGATATGGGATCCTATAAATCAGGGGTGTCAAACTCATTTTTGTTGCGGGCCACTTTGGAGTTACATCTTCCCACGGTAGGCCGTTAAGACGGTGAAAGCGAATAAATGTTTCATCGCCGCATCGTATTATTACTTGTACACACACAAAAAAAAAAATGATGGCTCACGAGTGTTGAAATCAGTTCCGTAGTTGTTCAATTATTTCTCAAGTGAGAAATAATGTGGGAACAAAATGATTGCAAAATGTCACCGGTATTTATTACGCATGACAATTTGAGATTTCAGAACAGATTTAAGCAAGAATCATGGAAGTTGACGCCGATGATTTGGTTTCGCGGGCCGCAAAAAATGACGTGGCGGGCCAGATCTGGCCCCCGGGCCTTGACTTTGACACGTGCTATAAATGTTCAAACGGCTTTCTTTGCACCGCGTTTGAGCTTGGCACACGGAAAAGCCGTGACTTTGCGTTCTGTGCTATAGACAGCGGCTCCTTCCTGATCTTCAACCAGGATCACAACAAGTGCGTGAAGGTCCTCCACGCCTCTTCCGTCACGCTGTCCAGGTGCGAACCCCACGCCAAGGACCAGCAGTTCCGCTGGGCCTCGGCGGACCGCCTGCTCAGCCTGTCCCTCAACCTGTGCCTGGGCGCCGTGGAGCTCAAAGACTGGGTCAAGGTCCTGCTGTTCGAGTGCGACGAGGCCAGTGAGCTACAACACTGGCAGTGCAAAAACGAGACCTTGTTCGGACTGCGGGACCGTGACCTGCACTTCAACTGGGGGAACCGCAATGAGAAGAATGTGATGATCTACAAGGGCTCGGGATTGTGGAGCCGATGGAAGATCTATGGGACGCATCTGGACCTGTGCGCTAAGGGCTATCAAGGTAGGTGGGCGGGTGCGCTGGAGTCCAACCCAGAGGTCGTCAATCGCAGGACAACTCCAGACAAACAGAATAGACAATTTAGAGCGGGCAGGGACCTCGAAATGTTTGGAATTGCCTCACTGACCTGGAAACAAAATCAAAAGGGCACATTTTCCTTTTCACAACATGGATTGATGGATAAAACGGGCACGTAGATCCTAAAGTGGTGCTCAAGCACCAGGCAATATTTTGTCAACGGGGGGGCCGAAAAAGATGATGTTGGCATTTGCTGTCGATGGCTAAAACTCCCCAAAAAATCTTTTTTATCTTGATCTCTCATTTTTTTGCAAATCACAAAAAACCTTATATTTCAGGAGAAGTTTGTTTAATATCCACTACAACTTCACTTCTGCACTTTTCATAATTGTTATTGTTTTGTTCACAGAACTCTGTTTTTATTTTTTGCAATAATGCTGCTGATGGATGCCCTTTTTTGGGCCAAAATTGTGTACATATGCCTGAAACCGGTGTGTGTACATTGTTAACATATGACTTCCTGTTTTGATAAGATAAGATAAGATATCCTTTATTTGTCCCACACTGGGGAAATTTACAATTTTGTGCTCTTATTCTGAAAGACAAAGCAAAACACTTTCAGATCTGAATTGAACACAACCATTGCTGAAACACATGCTGGCAGACAGTCATATATTCTTTATCCTCTGAAAAGAATGCCGAATATGATTGCCGTATTGCAGTTTAATATGAGGCACTGCTCTATCTGTTGCCCCAACAGAGATTTTTACCATCGGGGGCAACTCCTTCGGCGCCCCGTGCCTGTTCCCATTCAAATTCGGTGAGCAGTGGTACTCGGAGTGCACCAAGGCAGGCCGGGCCGACGGGCAGCTGTGGTGCGCCACCAAGGCCAACTACAACAGCGAGAAGAAGTGGGGCTTCTGTCCCACCAGAGGTAAGAGCGCAAAAAAATAGATAATACAGTAAGACAAGAAGTCCTGGCGTTCAAACATGACTGTTTTTGTGCCGTTTTCTGCCCTAGAAAGAGGTCAGTGCAAACAATTGAGGTTTATGACCCCCTTGACAGAACGACAGCCCTGTCCTGACTTGTCAACAGTCTTTGTTTTCCTCTTCCCACAATCCTCTCATCCCCTCAGCAACGTCTGCAAAATAACTGCAAATCGGCTCGTGTGCATTTTTACCCTCTGATTATGATGCGGGTCAAACTGACCCATTGTCCGGTTAAAAACAAGTGAAATAATTCACGTGGAAAACATCTGCTTGTTAATGAGTGCCAACAACTTTTGGAGGAGTTAAGTTAACCAGTTTTTCCCCACTGGTGTCTGGATGATTATACACACGTTAGGTCAAATTGACCCGGGAAAATCACCGCTCAGTGTGGCATCTCGCACTATTACAAGCACTCAAACAATGTCAGCAAAATAACCTACAACAGTGCGGACGTTTTATTTTATTATTTCATTTTAAAATAACTTTTTTGGTGTATTTTCAGTCAAGGAAGATGGCGATTGGGTGGGGCGGCACTCTAGCGCCCTCTATTGACCATCCGCCAATGTCATTGCTGTTGCTGAGGGGCAAAAAAAAAATCAGTGGAGGATTTATTTCACCCCGTCATGCACAAATAATGATAACCTACATCAGGATTTTTTTTTCTCAAGTGTTTTTCTCAAGTCGATACACAACTGTGACATTAAGATTATTTAAGAAAAGAGAAAACAACATTTGACTAGCTGTCCACTCAAGTAACTAACCGCTGTCCCTGAAATGCTCAAAGTGAGAATTTGAAGCTAAACCGGAAAGTCCA